TGAGTGATGTTGATCCAGCAGCTTTTGTCATAGATGGATTGCTTCAATAATTCTCTCTGTCTGTGTGCAGGAACATTCAGGCCGAGTGTTCAGGCTCCAGTTTGACGAGTTCCAGATCATCAGCAGTTCCCATGATGACACTATCCTCATCTGGGACTTCCTCAACGTCTCAACCAATGGCCAGACTGAAGGACGATCGCCATCCCGCACTTATACCTATATATCCAGATAGCAGGTAATGCTTTGTTTAACATGTATTAAAGGGCACCTATATGAAAATCCTCTTTTGTAAGCTGTGACCTGTGTATAGGTATAGTGTGTCCATGTCATATTGGGGTGATATAAAAACATGAAAGAATTTCCAATGTTAAAATAGAATCCAAATCCCTCCCATTTTGAGGCGGATCAATAGAGTGGAGGAACTATGATGTCACTTTGTAGGCTAATCGACTGCTAGCATAAAACTGGTTCCCTCGTGAAAATCCCTATAGGATTTTCCCATAGGCTTTTCGAAGATTGCAAATAATAAGCTCTGTGTTCAAACACAGTTCATTACACTTACACGTTTTGTTCAGCTGGATAATCCTCACACGAAAAAACAACTTGGAGCACTTTTGGATCTTAAATGCAAACGCAAGAGTTAAAAAGCTAACATTAGGCTATAAACGGACTACAGAGCCCTCGGGGCGCTCGTCTGTGACGTCAGCACCACCCTGCTACAGACGACTTATCAAGCTTATTTTTAGAAATAATGTCCATGACAAAGAGCTAATCTCTCTGTTTATTATATTATAATCCACGCTATATATTATAAACAAATAAATACGCAAAAATATATATACCTATGTGCCTTTTGGATCGTTTTTACGTGGGAAATACATCTGTCTTGCTTTGCAGTCGTTTTTAAAGTTTTAAAACTGCGTGTATAAATCTGCCTACATAGTATTTTCATCAGACATATTTAAATAAGTGTATCGCTCGCGTGCACACAGCCTGCTTACCTTAACAGATGACAGAAATGAGGCGTGAGGAGGGACAAGTCTATCAAATGGCTGCAAGTTCCATCATCATGGACACAGAACAACATTCAATATTCCTTTTATGTCACAGATAGTACAGCGAAAAGCAGCCCATACAGTCACATCTGCTATACATTTTATGGAGGAGTGTAAATACTGCAGTTAAATGTGTTCAGATGAAGAAAAAAAGACGAGACCTCACTTGATCATGTAAAATGACAGTTAATATGTCTGTATTTTTACACATTTATTCACACGTTTGCATTATTGAAGGCAGGAGAGAGACAGGCTGCACTGGTGAGCAGTATCTTCATAATATAGTTTAATTAAAATAAATGATCAACAAATGAATCTGTCTCGACAGCCTTTACATGTGAAGGCATTATCTATACACAATCTGAATTCTTAATTAGAAAAACACAAAACTATAAAATACTATTCATGAAAATACCTAAATCACAGATAAATCCAAATGCCCAACACAAGCGAGCTGCGCTCCAGACCAGATCAGCTCGATGACGTATAATGTCTCCGACACCGCCTGTAGTCCCATTTAGCAACTTGATAGCAACCGTCTTTTTAAAGAAGCATGGCTGAATTAAAAATCCAAAAGTGTGTTGTAACTGTGTTTTATGTCGTAGTACAAAACGTGAAAGTATCTTGAGTTGGTGTTAGCCACGGACCTTATTTAAGCGATTTTACTGAAACCCCATTCAAAAAACCCATTGACTTTGGGACGAGGGAACCGGAAGTGCTAAAATGCTAGCTCGCTTCCGGGGTTTTGCATACAAAGTGACGTCATAGTTCCTCCACTCTATTTGACATGGGTGTGTTTCCCCGCCCACTGAATTGGTTGACACTTGCATGTTAACATGTCTTCGTAGTATCATGTATAATCATATCAAGACAGCGTGTGCGCAAAGCAACTGGGATTACAAGATCTTCTCAGCTCGCTGTGATCATCAATCATTATCCAATGTGTTAACGAATGAGTTTTACAAGTTAAAATGCATGTTTGTAATGAATTACAGCTGTTTTTTTAATGTCTATAACTACAGCCTTGTGTCAGTGTCATTATAAAAGATGCTTCTATCCTAGTTTGTGGATGTTAAATCATGTTTATTTTGTACATTAACATAATCAGGGCTCGAAATTAACTTTCTTACTTGGTAGCACTGGTGCTCCCAACCTGAAACATTTAGGAGCACCAGAAAAAATTTAGGAGCACCCACCAAAAATTAATAATATTGACAAGTTGTATATTAAGGGATTTATTGTATTTGAAAACAGCATCATTTGGGACTAACAAAACCCAGAAACAATTATCTAACTAATGCTGTGATGACTTAATATTTGTGCAATATTTCCAAAATTAATTTTGAATAATTATAAAATATTAATGATGATGATGATGACAATAATACTAACAATGAATTCTATTTCTCATCATCATGCTGCCTTGAATGTGCTTTAATGCAAGTTATCTGCTATATAAAGTCCTGCTGTTACTCTATGGAAAATAAATTGATAGTTTGCATCAAACACAAATGAAGCATTGCAGTAAGAAATATTTATTTTGTACTGCTGTTTTTATATGCATGTCAACTTAATAAATACTAGCCTATTTCTGCTACAAAACAAAATATTATAATAAATCATTCAATTCGATGCTGAAAGGTGCAAAGCAGTCATCAATAATTAAATAGAAAAATAATATACACCTCAAGAAAGAACGGACAAAAGAAAGGAGAAAAAGTCTCACTTTTAAAAGTTTTGGTTTCGGTTCTTGTCGTTGTAATGCTCAGCTTCGTTACGCGCTGAATTTCATTTTTCTGTGTTTGTGGAAAAGCATGCGAGTCAGCCGGCCCAATATAAGGGGGGCAGAGCAGGATTCTCCCAATAACCACCGTCGCAATACTGTTCCTTGTTATAACCCGCATCAGTTTAAACTCCGTAAAGGCAAGCTTCTTTGGCGATGGTGTTTTAGCGGACATTTGCGCTGTTGCAGCCTGATCTCACGAGGAAACGTATGAAAAAGTTACGAATTGCCGTGAGATTGTGTTGACTGAACACGCAGCGCATGCAACGCATCGAGATTCAGTGTACTTTTCACTCTTCAGCCGTTTGCATTCCCCGCGGTCACAAAAGCTCATCACAAGTGGTGCTCGCTGCAGAGCCATCCAAAAGCTCCCTCCCTGTCATCTGACAGCGGAAAGTCTTGAGTGATTGACAGCTAATATGAACCAATATGGCGGCAGGAAAGAGCTATTCAGCACGTTTTTAGAAAAAAGAAAAAGAAAAAAACAGGTCGCACTCCAACCTAAATATTCAGTCGCACGAATGCTCCCAATATATATTATGAGGTCGCATAGCTTAAATTTCGGGCGCATATGCGACCAAAATGGTCGCTATTTCGAGCCCTGATAATGGATTTCCTGCAACAGTGGCTCTTAACCTGTATCAAGTCACATTTGCCTTGCAAATGCAGTGCAAAGTTAAATGTGTGAGCTGTGGGTGTCTGTTTGCGTGCGTTGGCATTGTGTGTGACTCATCGATGTGAAAAGGCTTGAAATGATACAGATACACCAAATAATCATTTGTAAAGTTCTTACTGTAATATTTCTCACAAACATTCTTTAAGATCTGCTTTTTCATGTCTTTCACTGTGCTGTTTATCTGAAACAGCCATGGCAGAGATTAAGGCACACTCTGACTGGCACATAGCAACAGTGGGCATGGAGAATTAGCATTAAAGGCACAAGCCACAAAATGGCTACATTTGTGTTTAGTGTAGAAAACTCTCAATATTCTGAAAGGTTTAATAAATAATCTGATGGCTTTTTTTGAGCTGAAACTTTACAGACACATTCTGGAGACACAAAAGTCTTATCTTAACCTCTTAAGGCCCAAGGTGTATTTTTACATGCTTTTTTATTTCTCTTTGCTATTTGGGCTTATTGGAACCTAATTAGAATAAAAACCTAAGTATCGTCTTTTAATATGATGTACTTTAGGAAAACACTTATGTCCATTTATGTGTACTTGTGGTCTGAATTTACATAAAACACCTTTTCCTGACTTTTTTTATGCATATTTAACATGGACTATCAGAGTCAAAACACCCCCCACCACCCAAAATGGACTGCTGCAAAACAGTTGCAGGATGACACTGAATGTTTTATATTTTTTTACAGACATACAAAGTATTTTAAATAACCACTTAAGAGCTAAAATGTGCTGTCCACGTATGTGGCCATTAAGGCCTAGGAGGTTAAACCTAGAAAATGGGGTAAAATAGGTGCCCTTTTAATAAAATCTCCGTTCTTCAGCATTCAAACTCTAAACTGTTTTTATGTGATCTGTTGGCAGGGAAGCCCCGGTGGCGTGCGGAGTGTGTGCGAGTGTGTGTGGGGACTGTTCGGGTGACCCAGTCTCTGTGGAAGTGTGCCAGGATCAAAAGGTTGAGGAACGCCACCAAACACCCCATTTTCCCCACTTGCCCGCCTCTCTCCATCTGTCCGTTTTATTTCTCCCCCTCTTCAGTCGTTTGGAGGGCCACAAACATAAACCATGTCAGTTCTCTTTCTCCCTCTCTCTGCGGAGGAGGAGGTGGAGAAAAGATGGAGAGAGCGATGCCATTAAACAGAGAACATGAGGGTGGGCAACCCTCACCCCGTCGCCCTGTGCAGAGTGACGGCTGCCCCGGCTCCGCCCCCTGGGCCCATGAACTCTGTATCTATCTTTTGTTCATTTTATTTTTATTGATTAAGAAAAAAAGAAAAACTAAAGAGAGGAGGCAAGGTCTGAGTGCCTTCCTTCCCTCAGGACTGTTCTGCATGAATGAGCGAGCGATGGGACGTGTAATGTGTGCTGGTCAACCCCTCAGTTTCTGTCTTATGTTTTTTTTCTTTTGTTTTTTTATGCTTTGGTTGTTGTTTTTTTTAAGTTGGGAAATTGACTTCATATTTCTTTTTTCTTGTGGAAATCGTATGAATAACTGTAGTTTTTTGACTCTTCTCCTGTTATGTCGCTCCATTTCTCGTTTTTAGCGCTGTCCGTCTCGTTCCCTTTCTCACTGTCTGCTCGTCTAGGTTCTGAATGACCCATAACTGATCTGAATTTAGTTGTAAACAGAATTGTCTTGTCTAAAATGGTGTTGTATATTGAAAAGATTTTTTAAAGAAAAAAAAGCGTTATTAATAAGAATAAAGTACTTGACTGTGAAGGAGTGTTAAGAAGATTGCACAAGCGCATCATGTTTTCATAATGTGTATGTGTGTTCGTATGCCCCGTTCGTCCCCTTTTGAGATAAAGGCTTTCCGACGGGCCCGGATTTCACTAACCTTACATAACCACTGCCAAGACCTTCCAAAAAGCACAGGGCCGCTGTTCAAATATTTAAGTTTACCTCCTGCTCCGAATATGTGGAAATTGGCAGCACTGTCATTTTCGTTCTATTTGATTCTAGCTCCTCTTACAATCTCCACCATGGCAACAGCCACAATACATCATTCCAGAGCTGCAGCGATTCAAAAAATGCTTGAATGCTGAACAGAATTTTAATCCTAAATCTTAAGAAGTTCCGTCTTAAGAATGGAATTCCATCGAAATGAGGCATTAATATGAGTGATGTCAGGCTAGTATGAGACGTAAGGGTGGACACGGAGACATTATAAAAAGAGGGAGGATCAAAGCAAGTCTGCAGACGAGGGACTACTGCCCAGTGCGGGTGATCAAGAATGCAGTTGACGATTAGAATACAGACAAAACAGCCCTCAGATGTGTTCGCTATTAAGGAAGCATCGGAGTAACGTCTTGCTAGAAAGTGTTTAGGCGACTTCTTGTTTAGGATAGATTGCTTTTAGTGACCAACAATTAGAACTAGTAGATGCAGTTTTTCTGTGTGTGTGCAGAACTAGTATATGCATGCACACTCCACTAGGTGGCAATGAAACACAATAGTCAAAGTATCCTCAAAATAAATATTTTAATAACATGAATAGTATCAAAATATTTCATCTCAATATTTCGCCAGCCCCAAGTGATTTTGGGACAGAGTAATTTGCAGCGGTAACCACAACATTTTGCATTACAACACTTGCAGGGCTGGATGCTCCGGGGTCAGTCTGAATAACTCTGATAGATTGAAAGCTCCAGAGAGAAAATCAACTCATGTTGTGGTCTGTAATGGATATGTTCTGTTAGAATGCCACAAACATCAGTGCAGATCATGGAAAAGTCAAATATGCTGGCTGTGTCTGAAATCACAAGCTTCCCTTATATAGTAGGCAAAAAAGGTACATGTTAAGAGTATGCCTCAATCCACTACAGCTGTGAATGGCAGCAAGGTTGGCAAATGTACTTCTTGGTTGGACTTATGAGATCTCAGATAAAGCCTTCATAATACTTCCAATTTTCAATATGTAAAGCCAATCAATACATTTATTCCGCTACGATTCATACAAACGTGGCAGTAAAGTTATTCCTTTTAGAATTCTGAAAGGAGATTTTTAACATCCTTCTATTCATCGGAAAATCTGAAAAAGAAAAACAAAGTCAGTTTTCACAAATTTAGAGCAGCTCAACTGTTGATTCTTAAGAAAATGCACAAAAACAGAATGATTTATGAAGGCTCATGTGAGTAATGTCCACATGAAATCCAGCACAATATTTTAGTCCAAAAAACATAAATGATCTGAAGCTTTTGAACGGTAGTCACACTTGTGTTCTGAACATGACCCTTGCTGCGTCCCAATTTGCATACTTATACTACACCCTGAAAGTATGTTCTCATTTTGTGAAGGAAACAGAAGTGTGTAACAGCAAAAAAATATGCAAGCTTTGGGACATTCTACTTCCTCGTTAACAGATTGTTATGTTGCTTGGTTATGAGTCCTGTCAATCATCCACATTTCTGTCATATTTTTCTACCTTATTGGTGAAGCAGCAGCATGCTAATCTGCCATTCACATGTTTCATTCAGAGAAATCTCCTCAAGTCTTTGGATAGTTCTGCATTCAGATGTTGATGTCCAAACACGTCTTTATAGAAGTTCAGTATTGTTGTAGATTAAATAAAACGGAAAACGCAATAAAATTTTTAGTTGGCTAGATATTAATTAGCAGTCATACAAACATCTTTACCGAAGCCTCTCTTAACAGTTGGTCTTGCACGTCCATCATGTTTGTAGTTCTAATCGAATTCATTAGATGTCCAATGTACTGTGGGCAATATCAGTGATTAGAGTCTGGGCGCTTCTACACTTCACATTTTTACCGGAAATAGTAAACCATCTGGGTACCTTTGGCATACTCTTTTCAACATATGATTTGGGACATATTAATTCTATTTTTAAATACTATTTAGAAAGGATAGTATGCCAATTGGGACGCAGCAAAAGCAGTTCGCAAAGGGCACTTTGGATTGAAAACAATCATGACCACTATATTATAGCACTGTTCCAAAATAGGATCTCAAACTCGATTCCTGGAGGGCCGCAGCTCTGCACTGTTTTGCTCCAACCCTAATCAAACACTTTAGATCCAAATATTCAAGATGTTCAAGACTACTAGAGACTATGAAGCTGCAGTCGCACTGAACTCTTCTTGCCATAGATTTCCATTAATACACACGCAAATGAGTCGGAACGGAAACGCAAGTTCGTGCGTCAAGTTCCGCACTTCGATGCGTTGCAAAGTTCAAGCTTGGTGAACTTTTACCTGCAAAATCGCATCACTTATTAATTAGATTTAAACAAATTTAAATATAAACAAATCGCTCGCTTTTTTTATGTCTTATCGTCTTGCTTAATCCCGCCCCTTTTCGCATGGTCGTAGGACAGAATTTTGCAAGCACAAACTCTAGTGTGACCCCAGCTTAAAGCAGGTGTAAGCTGAAGGTGGTTGGAAGTAAAATATGCAGAGCTGCGGCCCTCCAGAAATTGAGTTTGAGACCATTGGAATAAAGGATTCCAAAAGGTACAATAGATGGCACTTCACTCTGCGCATCTTTTTGTTGTAGATGACAGAAGTGAGTTCTGAACAAATGTTTTTGTTAGCTACACCTTAAACATAGGGTGTCCAAACTCTGTCCTGGATGGCCTGTGTGCTGGAGAGTTTATCTCCAACTTGCTTTAACACACCTGCCAGGAAGTTTCTAGTATATCTAGTAAGAGCTTGACTAGCTGGTTCAAGTGTGTTTGATTAGGGTTGGAGCTAAACTCTTCTGGATATTGGCCCTCCAGGACTGAGTTTGGACAACCCTGCCTTATACCTTCAAAGCTCTGAAACGGTTAGGGCAGGCTTGCACAAACCCAGTCCTGGAGGGCCGGTGTCTTGCAGAGTTTAGTTCCAACCCCTCAGACCCCAATCTAAAGCTAATCAAGCACTTTCTAAGTATACTAGAATCTTCCAGAGAGGTATGTTGAAGCAAATTGAAGCTAAACTATGCAGGACATCAGCCCTCCAGGACTGAGTTTGGGCACTTTTGGATTAGGGCATAGGGGTGATCCCTTCAAAATAGTACACAGCCTATATTGCTCCCTTTAAATTACACTTCAGTGGTCGCCAGTAATTCCATCACTGAACAATATTAATGTTCTCCTGCTGGAAAGTGAACAGCAAAGCGCATGTCAGGCAAAAAAAAAACCTCTAATAGCATTCTCTCGACAAATACATTCAGGTTGACTTTGGTTCTTGGGTGCAGTCTCCAAAAATTTGGCTCAAAGTTGATGTTTTTGATGCGTTCACAAAGCATCAGAGTCAGCGCGCTTAGATTTCCAGCCGTTCAACATCACATAAGTAGATCGCTTTGCTCTTTTATAGTGGGACAGATGAAAGTCTGTGGCACTGGACGTTTAGAGGTGAATTCTTTGGCCTCTGAAGTGCTTGGTCCCCTTGTTGTCAGGGTTGAATCGACTGGACACTTGCCCAGGAGTCTTTGGTTATGTTTGCATGGTTACACAGTGTTTAAACAACCTCATCTTTCGACTGACTTCTACCCAGAGGTCGGTCCTAATGTCTAACTTACATACATTTTCAAGAGCGTCTCTAGTCAGTCTGCTAGATGAAATGTACAAGTTCTAGTCAGTGTTTGGCGCTTTATGGCAGTGGCGGAGGAGAGGCGGAGGGCTGCTGGACTCTTTTGCTCCTCTTGCTGACTGTGGTGAAGCTGCAGGGCTGCAGGTCGGGTTGTTCTCCTGGAGGAAAGCGTTTCATGAAATGCACGTCCCGCTGGTTGGGTAACGTGTTCGGGCCTCTTCGAGGCCGACCCTTTTTGGTAAAGCCAACGTACCAGCCTACATAGTGTGCTGACATCCAGGCCGTGTAGTTATTCTCAAGCATTATCTCGATGAAAACGCAGCCTCCGTTTACGCTGCTGTCTTTCTGGAATTAAAATAAAAGTAGATTCCATGAAATTATCTCCAGCTATATCTGCTATCTTTACCCATGATTTAATCCAAAGTTGAAATGGCACTTACAACATTTGCAAAAAAAGAAAAGATCCCATTTGTTCAAAAGCGTTAAATCAGCACTTTCTGAATTATCACGATTTCTGAGTGGTTAATTGAGAAACCACTTCTTTTTTTTCTTTTCATCAGAGTTTATCAGACATCACAGGTTATTTTGTGGTTGGAGGCTGGTGAATAATGTTGAAAAAACTGTTCTGTAAGACTTTACAAAATTATTTCAAGAATTCACACTTAGCTGATGATTGATTATAAAGCTTGTTTGGCATGCTGTCCCGGGAGAGAGCCCTGAGCTGATAAGATCTTCGAGCCAGGGGCTCCCTCCCGTTTGCAAGGCGAGAGGGGAGTTTAAGTTCAGGTAGATCTTGAGAATTCCACTGCTGTAGTAGCTAATGAACAGATAGTGATTGTCTTAAGAGATAACTACTTACTAGGAGCATGTCTATGTTGCCGATTTGGATTAGTCACTTAACTTATTTTGCATGTTTTTGGACGGTGGGAGGAACCCGGGGGAAACCCACATAAGCACAGGGAGAACACGTAAACTCAGAAACTTTCGCTGGCTTGGTAAGGACTAGAACCAGTGACGTTCTTGCTGTGAGGAAACAGTGCTAACCACTGGGCCACCGTGCTACCCATCTAGAAAAGGAGGAGGAAAAGGGGTGATTCTTTAAAACGTAAATGGCTGTTGTATGGAACTTAGGGTATTTATAGTGGCTTAGGAATCATTTGATTGGTGAATTATAACTTGAATAATGCGGGGCCAGCTGCAAGCAATCATAAGCACGTGATCCTCTTGAAATTAGTTTATAAGTAAACTTCACTTTGAAGATGGACTTTCACTCAGGTGTTTGCAGAACTATTAAAACAACATTTGTGATGGTGTGAGATGATACAAGCACATCGTATTCGGAGATGCAGTCACATGACTATTTTTAATGTGCATCAAGGAATTTGCAAAAATTTGCTTCCATCATAATTTATGCATGTTTTTTTTTACTTATAGGATAAAAAGTTCATCCTACTCAATTGTGTGTGAAAGTTTTTCATGCACATTTTTTTTTAATTAATACAAATTTTACAGCTTCCATTCAGTATTTTTATTTTATGCGAATTCATAAAATTCACTTAAAAATTTGTGTATGGCCATAGGCCTTTCCATTTAGAGAAAGCAACACTAAAAAAATTTAGCAGAAACAAGCTTGTATACCAGCATATCAGCTTTCGGCAGTTAACCCTGGGTTACTGATACCTGTTTTAACCCGGGGTAAAAGAAAGCTTTAAGCTTTGTGTCAGTTTTAATCAGGGTTGATGAAACCCTTTGGTGGAGCAAAGCTGGCACTGTTTTGTGGTGTTAACCACAAAAGCAGTATTGATGCTGGAAAACAAAGCTTTTCAAAGATGCACGTTAACTGAACCAGTTGTGTTGTAAAATGGTTCATTGTGTAGAAGCATTTGGTATTTACATATCGTTTTATCTGAGACTTCTTAAGTGTTTTTCACAGTAAGTACATTAGAATGCTCAACAGAACAGAAAACTGACCAATTGTGCTTTAAGGCAAGGCTTTTGCAAATGTTTCATATTAAATATAGTGTAACTAACCAATCTTTATAAAGCATCAGGTGTCTGTGTAATATTATTCTTTATCAATTCTTAGGGCTTTTAAAAGGGATAATTCATCCAAAAATCACATTGTTTTGCTCACCCTCGGGTCATTGGAGATGTCAAATTGGCGACTTCTTTTCTTCAGTAGAAGATTTAACAAACTATGTTTTTGATCCTTGATGATTTATATAATGCAAGGCAATTAACAAAAGCAATCAGTCCAAATCAATTCCTGTGGCTCCTTATCATACACCGAGGACTTGTGTAGCAAAACAATCAGTCCATGTAGGAAACTGAACATTATTTACAATAAGCAGTTTTTGGCACATGCACAGTTTGGCACAACTCAGACGTGAGATGAACTGTGAAGATTCACAATTTTTTTTATTTATTTTTTTGACGTTCTACTGCAGATAAAATGTCATCTACATCTTCAATGGCCTGAGAATAAATTAACTATAAATGATAATTTTTGGTTGAACTATCCCTGTAATTTTGTTTTATGATTGGCTCATAAAATGACTATTAAAAATCAATTAGCTCCAATAATCCTGACATAAATGTCTTTTTAAATGTCTACAGATTTATAAAACTGATCAGAGATCAGTGCACCCACATGATTCATTCATTTCCTCTGATCATCACCCCCTGGTGGCTGACCATAAAATTTCAAAAGATTTCTAAACTTACAATGCTCATAGTTAATCAATGGGTGTAAAAGATGAGCAATGTGGGATTTCTTTACTCTGGGTTTCTTACTAACTGTTTCAAGTGTTTTAAAAAAAAGATCTTTGCTTTAGTCTTTCATGTGATGAACGAGTTGTGGTTGCTGTCATGCAGTGCAATACTTCTTTTAGAGTGAGTAATTGAAAGGATTCAGGACCTACAATAAAACTCACCTTTCCTATGAGCTTCCCCTTGCGGTTCATGCACAAGTAGTAGTTTGTTTCTTTTCCTCGTATTCTCACTTGACTCCCGAAGGTGTCTGCCTCCACCACGAGCTGGGCTTGTGAAGAAACCAAACACACAGACACAAACATGCATACATTACATGCATTGAGCTGTTTTGAGGGGATGTTTTCGTGCTTTTAGTGATTGTGGATGTAATATATTTACTATTATTTTAAGAATATATGTATTCTTTTTAATAAATTTCAAATTAATTCAATTTTTCTATTTAACATTAGGTACATCTAATTGTGTATATATAAGATAGTTTTGTTAATAAATGATATAATTTCAGGTGTAATTACTTTATTCTTAACTGAAAGAGCAAGAAACTTTTTCGCAGAATGTCTGATAATATTTTTTTCTTCTAGAAAAGGTCTTACTTGTTTTATTTTGGCTAGAATAAAAGCAGTTTAACATTTTTTTAAACACCATTTTAGAGACAAAATTATTAGCCCTTTTAAGCTATATTTTTTTCTGATGGTCTACAGAACAAACTATCGTTATACATTAACTTGCCTAATTACCATAACCTGCCTAGTTACATAGTTACACCTTTAAATTGTCACTTTAGGCTGTATAGAAGTGTCTTGAAAAATATCTAGTCAAATATTACTTAGTCATCATGGCAAAGATAAAATAAATCAGTTATTAAAGATGAGCTATTAAAACTATTATGTTTAGAAAATTGGGGGAAAATAAACAGGGGGGAAATTAATTATATATATATATATATATATATATATATATATATATATATATATATATATATATATATATATATATATATATATATATATATATACAACAGTTCTGTCTGGTTCTCGAATCTGATTGGCTGATAGCCGTGCGATATTCTGCAATATCAGAACTCCTACAGCCTCTTTACCCTTTGTGTATTACTCAAAAACATACACCCAGCAAAAAGCAGACACTACAGATCTAAAGTTTAAAAGATGCTTTTAACTGTTTTAACAGCTGTTCAACTGTCAGCTTATGATTGAATCCAAGGCGGAAGAAAATAGTTCCTCATACAAAAGGGTTTTTGAGACTCTCCATGTTTGATTTTGTTTTTATACACACAATTATGCCGTCAAACTGTTGTATAAACGCAATATCACACTCGTAGCAGTGCGATATGGCTGTATATAGACACTGGTGGGGGCACTAAGGCAAGGCAACGCAAGCCTTCCACCATACAGCCATATCGCACTGCTACTCGTGTGCTATTGCTATATATATATATTTATACAACAGTTCTGTCTGGTTCTCAAATCTGATTGGCTGATAGCCGTGCGATATTCTGCAATATCAGAACTCCTACAGCCTCTTTACCCTTTGTGTATTACTCCGCCCACATACAGCCAGCAAAAAGCAGACACTACAGATCTAAAGTTTAAAAGATGCACACTCAACTATTTAACTGTCAGCTTATGATTTGAATCCGGAAAAAAGTAGTTCCTCATACACAAGGATTTTTGAGACTCTCCATGTTTGATTTTGTTTTTATATACACAATTATGCCGTCAAACTGTTGTATAAACGCAATATCACACGAGTAGCAGTGCGATATGGCTGTATATCGGCACTGGTGGGGGCACTAAGGCACGCCTCCCACCAGTGCCGATATACAGCCATATCGCACTGCTACTCGTGTGATATTGCTCATATATATATATATATATATATATATATTATTTTAACTAATAATCAGGGCCCTATCATTCACCCGACACAATGTTTGTTGTTTGTTTGCTAGTTTCAGCTTGGCGCAAAAGTCGTTTTGACGTTTTGCGTCATGCTGTTAAAACAGCAAATGCATTCGCGCTCATATGTGCGCCCATAGGTGTTCTGGTCTAAAGAGGGAAGCGTGTTGAGGTGTATTGCTGGCGCATTGCTATTTTGAGAACCTATAATAGATTTTTCAATAGACCTGGTTTATTGTTAGCGCAGAGTACCTTAGTTATGCGCCTCGCTTACACATTGTTTAATACACAAAAGATGTAGAGCAATACGCAATAATCTTTACATATGAAAAAGAATTGAAATATTAAGAATATATATAGGATATAATAAGAATATATAGGATATAAATAAAAATGATTAAAATATTACAAAACATTATTTTCTAGCCTAAATAAATATAAAAACCACTGTCTTCTTCATCTCAGAGGGCTTTTTCAGTTGATTCATAACAATTGGCTTTTGTATAATGTTATTTTTATTAGCAGTATTATTTATTATATCCATATTTATATTTGTTTTATTAAAAACAAGCTTAGATTTGTCCACCTGTCAGGTTTTAGACCATATGGGGCACAGCATGTGTATTTGAATATAACTCAGTTTTTTGACCACACTTCGTTAATATTGTTCATTTATTCATTTGCTGGAAATTACAACTGAATTTAGAAATAGTTTTGAAACAAACCTTTGAGCTTAACAAACAAAATTAACTATTTATAGGCTAATTGATGTCTGTGCTTACAAGGTTTCCATATCCACAAGAGCGAAAGTGAAAGTAGATAATGAGAATGCAGATGCTCTGTTTAACTGTTTTCTCTCTAGTGAAGCGTTTAGTTTTTCCACGTTCAAAGTCATCATGTAAATAGCAAATGAGGCAACTGACTCGTGAAGGGAATGGGAGATGAGACTCTGTTTGGTTTATTCTTAAAACACACCTATAACTCATTAAGAAAATAAACTCAACCCTTTTAGAACATGTGCCACAGAGCAAAGTGGATTTTTCTGTCCTTATATTAGAAAAAAATGGATTTTGACACTCCCCTAATGCGTTTGTGTCCTGCGCTTTGCACTTAGCGCATGGATCGTCAAAATAGAGCCCATTTAGTTGAAGTCAGAATTAATAGCTTAAAGTATAAAAATTTAGCTTAAAGGGGCTAATAAATGTGACCATAAAATGGCTTTAAAAAATTTAAAACTGCTTTTATTCTAGCCGAAATAAAACAAATAACACTTTCTCCAGAAGAAAAAACATTATCAGACATACTGTTTAATATTACATATTTCCTTGGTCTGTTAAACATTATTTAGGAAATATTTTAAAAAGAAAACAAAATTCAAACAGGGACTAATAATTCTGACTTCAACTGTATATTATAATATAAACCACATGTGTCAAATCCAGTTCCTGGAGGGCCGCAGCTCTGCACAGCTTAGCTTTAACTCTAATTAAACACACCTGATCAAACAAATTAATTCCTTCAGGCTTGTTTGAAACCTACAGGTAAGTATGTTTAATTAGGATTGGAACTAAACAGTGCTGCGGCCCTCCAGAAACTGGATTTGACGCTTGTGAAAACTGAAATACAGAATATAATCGATTAGTTTTTTTAAAAATATAATTTCTTAAAAATAATAGAAATTAAAACAAACAATTTAAATGATTAAAAGTAGTTTTTAAGTTGAATATATAATATATTTATAGGTGTGAGTTATGATGTATTGTAAAAAAAATAAATAATTATACAAGTTATAAAACAACCATTATAAATATTTAACAAGCTCCATTTGTTTAATGTAAAGGCAGGCCAACACATTGAGATTATTTCTTACCATATTTGTCTCCATCCTCCCCCATGGCAGTGATCTTTTTGCCGAGCACCTGAACGTGTTTTCCGCTGGTTCGACTGTAGATTTGGTAAACCCGATGGTGTTTCCGGCTCAGGCCGTCCCGAACCCCAGTCTGATTCTCAACATGCACTCCAAAGTTGACATTATCCACGGCCAGCACCTGCACAAACACAGCAGCGCGTCACAAATCACTCACATTGATTTATGAACTATCAATTGATATATGGTTTTATTATCGGCAACACATGCAGACTGTAAGCACCTGTAACGGGCTGTAGAACAGTAACACGACCTGGTAGCATCTGGACAAAGAGAAATACAAAAGACATCTGTGACATTTGCGTTTGCATTCAGTCTAGTAGCTTTTCTATACTAGTTATGGGAGAATAAGTTAGGTTTATACTTTTTTCAGTTACATTTAATATTATTATTTGCCTGCTAGGTCCAAATGAAAGTATAAAGATAGATAATGGAGGATAAAACAATTGTGCATTATATTTATTTTCAGTTTGGTTGGCACATGTTAAAAGACTAAAGTTTTAGGAGATGAAAAAGATGAAAATGTTTATTTTCAGCCAAAACTGACACCACATGTGAGTGTCTGCATGTACTTAAAGATCAATGTTCAGATCTGCTATGAATTGTTAATAATACTTTCTACATATGCCAAGCAATCTCACTCACTCTCTTTTCTTAAATGGTGTCAGCCATGCATCATAATGCATCACAGGCTTACAGATCTTCTAGAAAAAAAAGTTTCCTTTAATCTTTGTTAACCAACATGCTTTATGGATTCTTTTGATTGTTCTTATAACATTCATGACTGGATGGCTTAAGTGTTTTTTGTTTTTATGTGCAAAATATATGAAGAAAAAAAAGATATACACTACCGGTCAAAATTTTGGGGTCAGGTTTTCATCATCATCAAGGTGACATTTATTAAATATAACCATTTAAAAAAATATATTTATTCAAATTTAAAAATAACTGCTTATTGTTTGTAGTTTCAAGTGTAATTATTACTCCAGTCATTAATGCTATTATTACTATTAACAATAATAAATATGATATTTAAAGATAATAATAATAATAATAATAATAATAATAATAATAAACATTAGAGTGATTTCTGAAGAATCACATGACTCTGAAGACTGGAGTAATAAAGCTCAAAATTCATCTTTAAAATCACTGGAATAAATGATTCAATTAAATGATTAACTACTTTTGAACAGTTATTTTATAGTGCAATAACATTTCACAATTTTTACTGTATTTTAATTAAATAAATGCAGTTTTAGTGAGCAGGATAAGCTTATTTTAAAACATCTAAAAATCCTAATGACCTCAAATGTTTGACCGATAGTGTATATAATACAATATAAGAATTAAAAGTTGTCTTCGCCTTAACAGGTTTAAATGTTGTCAATATTTGATACCTGGTTATGTTACTGATTTTACTAAGTATTAGTAAGGATAATATAAAAACTAAAAGACAGGATCCACTGAATTACTTTTTAATCTGACATTTTTATGTCAAATGGAGCAACCACTATTTGTGATATTATTTATTATTTTTTATTTATATTTATTTATTATTTTATTTCTACAATTTTACCTTTTCAACACAACTAACTTAAGCTTCTACCTTTAACTACAATTTTAGCTTCGGAATTATGAAAACACACTTTGTCTTTTTACAAGACATTTCAAGATGTTTGATTGTAAAACAGCAACCGATATTTGCTTCCTGTAAAAATGTTATGCATCATTGCTGGTAATTCATAATTACATGCCTTAATTATCTATCTATCTATCTATCTATCTATCTATCTATCTATCTATCTATCTATCTATCTATCTATCTATCTATCTATCTATCTATCTATCTATCTATCTATCTATCTATCTATCTGTCTGTCTGTCTGTCTGTCTGTCTGTCTGTCTGTCTGTCTGTCTGTCAGAACCCTATTTATAGATATAACAGTAACATGACCTGGAAGCATCTAAAAGAAATACAAAAGACATCCAAACTTGTTAGGGGAGAATAAGCTCGGTTTATGCTTTTTTTTTTATTATTATTTATTAGACCCCCCTGTATTATTAGCCCCCTGTTTATTTTTTCCCCAATTTCTGTTTAACGGAGAGAAGATATTTAAACACTTTTCTAAGCATACTAGTTTTAATAACTCATCTCCAATAACTTATTTATTTTATCTTTGCCATGATGACAGTAAATAATAGTTTACTAAATATTTTTCAAGACACTTCTATTCAGCTTAAAGTGACATTTAAAGGCTTAACTTAATTAGGTTAATTAGACAGGTTAGGGTAATTAGGCAAGTTATTGTATAACGATGGTTTGTTCTGTAGACAATCGAAAAAAATATATAGCTTAAAGGGGCTAATAAATTTTGACCTTAAAATGTATTTTTTAATTACTTTTTTTATTAAAAACTGTTTTTATTCTAGCTGAAATAAAACAAATCATACTTTCTCTAGAAGAAAAAATATTATCAGACACACACAGTAAATATTTTCTTGCTCTCTTAAAAATGATCTGGGAAATATTTGAAAAAGAAAAAAAATTAAAAGGAGGGCTAATAATTCTGACTTCAACTATATATATATATATATATATATATATATATATATATATATATATATATATATATATATATATATATATATATATATAACCCTTTCCATTTCAATAGAAATATTTGAAATATATTTATTTTATTGTTTTTTGTATAATTCCTGACTTTTTGTAACTTTTTTTTTTTTTTTTTTTGCAAATTTCTTTATAAATTCTTTATACATTTACAAGATATTTTAAGACATCTTTATATTTGCCACTGACTGCAGCAGGACTCATATACAACAGTCTGAGCAGGATTCAGACAGAGAAAAGTCTCATCACCATCATGCTGTGATCCCAGAGGAGAGTCTGGGTGGCCTTATATTCTAATGTGAACCCAGCATCTGCAGACTCTCTCTTTCTGACCCACAACAAACCCTCAGTCAGCCTGGCCAAAGCGAGACGGAGACGGAGACTCCACGTGAAACTTACAGCACGACAGCAGACCACAGGACGGACCGCATCGCGAGCTCCAGCGCTTCAATCAGCCCGGACAGAGAGACCTCAGTGGCGATGCTCTGAAAACCTGGAGCCAGAAGCGGACACAGACCCAAGAGAGCATCTGAGCGCGTGTTTGGAGGATCTCCTCAGAGAGACTAAACCTGTTTTGAAGAACACCGAAAAAGGACAGGTGAAAAACGGGTCATCCTACTGCGTGACCCCGATGACACTCCCGACAATAGATGGAGATCAGAAAGCAGTCTTGTTTCTTCAAATAACCCAAGAACGCTGCTGTCTTCGCACAAAAACGCAGAAATCGGGGGTCCTCTTTGGCCTTTAAGAAGTCTTTGCTTGATTTTCTCCTTTTCCAGGCTTCTTTTGTTCGGCTGTGGGGTGGAAAGGACCCCTCTCTCGCCACAGGACAGTGCGTTTGCTGAATGAGAAGGAAGCGCAGCTGAAGTGGAACGGAGATGGGCGGGGTGCGCGCAGGGGCAGGATGATGAGGATGATGGGACGGTGTTTCGAGCTCACTTGTCACCATCACTAAGGTGGAGAGGTGAACGAAAAGTGATTTAGCAATAACCGACATCTTACTTTTTTGAAGAAATTAAGAATCGTCAAAGTTTGACAAAGTCTGAATGTCCCGCTTTAAAGGTGCATTCAGACGTGTATATGGTGATTATACGAAATTAATAGCGTTTTGAAAAACGGATTGTGCTGTAAACATTCCAGTCCTGTCAGCTTTAAAGAAAGAAAATGCAGTTTTATTTGGCATGGAGTGGAGCGCCCCCTATTGGTGGCCACCATGTTGACATCACGTTGCAGTCATGCAGTGCAGTAAGTTTTAATTGAAGTTAACGCGTTTTAAGTCATTGACCAAACAATCCAGCAACGAGGTTAATTATAACATTCTACTCATTAAATTGAAGCAAACATTGGCAAAAGACTTGGGTACAATAGTTTCTTAACAGCATAATTCACCCAGAAAAGGAACACAAAGGGATGCGTTTAAATAATGGAAATTTTATATAAAAAAAATGAAAGAAAAAAAGAAGTATTTCATTTTATTTATTTTTCAGAATTTTCTTGTGTATGTGTGCATTAAACAGAATACAATAAACCCACTGTAATCAATAAAGGTTTAGTATTTAAACGTTTGCATGAACTATCCCTTGAACAGTTGTAAAAACGAGTAGGCGGAGCTAAACGTCTCCTTTTCTACTCTTTCCTCATTGCAGCTCTCTGATTGGTGGAATTTCTGCATCATGGGTAATGCAGTTTTTCTGCATAAAAAATGAATATGAACAGATAGTTTAAACACAAATATTCATAGCTGATGATCAACACCAGAGCAAGATTTATGTTATTTTTCATTCATTCATTTTCTTTTCGGCTTAGTCTCTTTATTAATCAGGGGTCACTATTGCGGAATGAACCACCATCTAATCCAGCACATTTATAAGCATCGGATGCCCTTCCAGCTGCAACCCATCACTGAAAAACATCCATACACACTCATTCACACACACATACACTACGAACAATTTAGCTTACCGAATTCACCTGTGCCACATGTCTTTGGACTTGTGGGGAAAACTGGAGCACCCGGAGGAAACCCACGTAAATGCGGGGAGAACATGCAAACTCCAAACAGAAATGCCAAATGACTCAGCTCAAACCAGCGACCTTTTTGTTGTGAGGTGACAGCACTACCCACTGCACGACAGCGTCACCCCTAAGTTATTTTTATTAAACTTTATTATTCCTGAAAATCTATTTTTAATGAAGAGATTTGCATCAATATAATTCTAAGCCAGGGGTGCCCAAACCATTCCTTATGAAGGGCCAAAAACCAAAGTTGATTGAAGGTGGTGGGCTAAAGTTAAATAAACCAAAGTATTACAATAAAGTTGCCATGGTAATTACCGAATGTATTAACATTTAAAAATAAATAGAAAGAATACTATAATCGTTTTAATAATTATATATTATTTACATTTTACAATGAACTTCTTACAATAAAAACAAACAATCT